CAGGCAAGGGGTGTGAGCCTGTGAGGAAATGCACTGAGCAAATGCAGGGTCTCGGCCCTGGACGGGGGTCCTGGGGCTGTGCCGTGAAGGGCTGGTGGCCACGGTTGTGGGTGGAGCCGAACGAGCCACAGGTGTGTGCACAGGGGTTGGAACACGCCCTGTTGGTCACTGCTCCAGACAGCGTCTGGGTCAGACCAAACGCATGGTCTGCCATGACTGCCCGTGGCTGGAGCCAGGTGTGTGGAACACAAGAGCCAGGTGTGTTATCTCCTGCACATGTGCTGCTATAAGTGGAATTTTTTGGTATATAATATAAATTCACTGAGTCAAGATATATTGATCCCCTGAACTTAATCACTTCCTTCTGATCTTTGTTCAAATGCCCTTGCATTCAAGAGGCCTTCCTTATTGTCCTAAGGTCGAGTCCCCAGTCCCCCTCAAACTCCCCACTCCATCACTGCCAGTCAGCCTGCCACAGGGGTGCTGTTTGCTCTGTCTCAGGCGTGCTCCTCCCTGGGAAGGAGCTGGGGTTTTCGGCCGGCTCCATTTTCAGCACCCAGGACAGCAGCCGGCACAGTGTGTGTGCTCAGGAAGTATTTCTGCTTGGAAAGCGATGCCCTGATGGCTAGAGAAAACTAGAGCCTCTAAAAGAGTAACAGCATCATAAAACACGAGCTGGGTGCTCTTCACTCCAGGGAGAGGTTCTGGAACCCTCTATGAAAAGGCAGGAGAGAATGGGAGCACCACACCCTGATTCAGAAGACCATTCGTGAGCACCTGCACACACTGGAAATCCTCGGAGCCTCCCGTCTGAGCTCTGTCTGTCTGGACCCATGCTTCCCCTGGTGCACAGGAGGGCCTGCCCCGGATGCCCAGAATATTCAACGGCTTTACAGCTGTGTTCTTTCACGTGCTGATGCATCAGAATGAGTGTATAGACAGTTTGGGATCATTCTCTGGTCAGCTTCACTTTTATCTTGCATTTTTGTCTGGCTCTCAATGGTTTTTGTTATTTATTCCCCTGAATTCATCCATGTGGGGGTTTGGCTGATGTTAATGGCACCTTTGGGTCTCTGTTATCTCTCTCCTTGACCAGGGTGATTTAAGCTACTCACTCTCTGGCTGGGGAGAAGAGGTGTCAACCATCCGCTCCTAAGTGTCCTCAGTTAGGGAAGACAAGATCTCTTGACTTCTTAGCTGGCTGTTACTTGCTCAGTTGTCTCAGGTTCCCCATTCCACTTGCCAAGGAATTTCCTACCTTCTTACTAACCTGCCTCACCCTGACCCTAACAATGAGAAGTGATTCTGAATCTGGCCTCTGACATTGACCACTGACCCTTTCCGTGACCTTGGTCCAGACTCAGACCCCTACCTTGACCTTTAGTCCTAACACTGGCCCTGTGATTTTTTCACAGCCTTATCATGGGAGGGGTGGACTTGCAAAAGGCATATTAGCCTTGAAGTGACAACTCAAGTTTTGACCCTTTGGAAGGGTGCTCTTGGTAGAGGTGACAGCCTTTCTTTGTAAAGGGTCGAGGTGGGTCTAAGCCTCTTTGTTTTGAGGAAGAAGCCTGGTGGCTGGAGCAGAGTGGGTGAGGGGAGCCGGTTCAGGCTGCGTAAAAGCTTCAGTGAAGGAACCCTGTGCGTGGTAAGGATGGCAACTTTCACACAGGCATGTCCATTCAGTGCTCCCTCTTGCTATGGTTACTATTCCCGTCTACGGAGGAGCGACACTGAGAGCTGGCACTCAGGGCAGGGCTCTGCACACGCGGTGCTGGAACCTGCTCCTATGGCATCTCAGACAGACTGTACACACGGGACAGGCTGGGAAGCACCCAGGCACGCCGGCCTCACCTCTCCCGAAAAACGGGAATTCCGCAAGGCAGCAAGCGGCCAGGCTGGGTGGGCGCCGGCCCATCCGAGGCCTCGCCTCCACCTGCACAACCCCAGGTGGCCACCTGCAGGCCAGGACCCCCTCGTGCCCAACCGGCCGCCGTCCCTGCACCCACGGCCCTCCCTGCAGACACCGACACGGCTCACCCCTCGGGGCCCCTCCGGCCCTGCCCATCCACAGGGAGGCGCGGCCAGCCTCGGGGCCCAGCTGGGCCGAACGAGGGTCTGGCCCCAGCTTCGTGCTCACCTCTGCACCCACCCGAAAGGAGCAGCCGAGACTGCTGCTGTGGGGCCAGCGGTGCCTCGCTCCAGAGCGCCCCCGCAGAGCCGTTGCTGCCACGGCAAAGCCGCGGTCTGTGCGGTGAGAGGCTCCGCGCCCTGCGGGCCTCCCAGGAGCACGTGCTGCAGCGCCAGCGACGCCCGGCCGCACAGGCCCTGGGGAGCCTCCGCACGTGCGCAGACCACAGGCTCCTGCCATTGGCCAGCCGCCCGCCGGAAGTCTGCACACAGCCCTCCCCTCTTCCAGCCGCTCGAGGACACTCACCAGCGCGGGTCCAGGGCCGGAACGTCTGGCGGGAAGGGGAACGGAGCACACTGCGCAGGCGTGCTCCAGACGCCCCGCCCCCGCCAGGCTTTCCCACAGCCCCGCGGAGGCACCTACCGCCTGGGGCCCTCGAGCTGAGAGGAGATGGCGGCGCGGCCCGGACCTTCCAGGGCGGAGCCCGCGGGAGCCGCGGGCCGGGCTGGGCAGGCCGCAGGTACAGCTGGGCGGCGCGGGCCTCTGTGGGGAGCGCAGGCGGCCTCTCCCTCCGAATTCCGCGGTCGGGCGGGCGGCTTGCGGGGCGGGCTGCGCTGAGCGCGGCGCGGCGGCACCGGAGGAGGACCCGCAAGGAGGGGGCGTGGGTCCTGCGGGGAGCGCAGAAGTGAGCGGCTCGTCTGATCTCGCGCGGCGTCCCGCGGGGCCTGTGGGGTCGCGGCTGGCGCGGGGCGCGCCCCTTGCGGCTCAGCGGTCGCCGTCCGGCCCTGACTGACGGCGGGCCGTCCGCGGCGCGCGCGTGCTCGGCCGCCGGCGTCCCTGCAGGCCTGGCGGGGCCGGAGCGACGCGTCCGCCCCGGGCCTCCCCCGGTGGGGCACCTGGTGAAGGGCGTGCAGGCGCTGCCGGCGCTGCTTTTGCAACTTTGAAGTAAAACAGGTCGCAAGTAGGGGCTCCGCCCGCTCCGGCTGGGTCGCGAGGCCGCAGCCGGCCCACTCCCCAGGGCTTCGCGGCTTCCCCGCGCGTCCCTCGGGCGACACGCGCCGGGGAACGGAGACCTTCCTGCCGGGCTGTGGGCCGCGTGTGCGGCCCGGGGAGCGCGGGCTCTCGGAGCTGGGACCGCGCGGGACGTGCACGCGGCGAGGCGTGAACCCTGCGCTGCGGTCCTCGCCGCGTCCTACCGCGGCGGGCGCCGCTCTGAGGCCGCGGCGCGCGGTCGGGAACGGGTAACCGAGGGTGGCGGCGTCCTCGGACGGTGGCCGCGGGCGCCGGGCCGGGCACGGGCGTGCTCGCGGCGGGCACAGTGAGTGGCTGTCCCCACCTTCGCGATGACGGAGGCCGTGCGTCTTTTCGACCGACCCCCGGCCGTTCGGGTGGTTTTCGGTGAACTTCCCCACTCTCCAGCTGCAAGGGCGGTTTAGCTTTTCCGCATTGAGTAGTTGGTCGGTGGGTTGATTTTTTTTAACTTTTAAAAAATACTTGTTTCTAGAAAGGGGAAGGGAGGGAGAAAGGGGGGAACAGCACTGTGTGGTTGTCTCGCGCGCGCCCCCTGCCGGGGGCCTGGCCCGAAACCCAGGCATGGTCCCTGACTGGGAATCGAACCGGCGACCCCTCAAGCCACTGAGCCTCGCCAGCCAGGGCTACGACTTTGTACCCTGAAAAATGTAAACATATACAAAGTTTGGAGACAAGTGTAATTACTCCACGAACCCGTCTTTCAGCTTCAGTGATGATCGGGTTTGCTCTTCGTCCTCACCCACTCCCCTCGTTCATTCGGAGCACTGCAGGCACCAAAGCACGGAATCCGCGGGCACTTCCATGTACATCTCTACGAGTTATCTGCAGGGTCAGTACTCTCCAGAAAACCAAACGCAGGGCCATCAGCTACATAACTGCTTTGTTTCACTGGGTATCCAGTCCATTTTCAAGTTTCCCTGATTGTGTCCTCAATAGTTTCAAAAGTGCATTTGTTTGAATCAAGATCGATGTGTGGTCCATTTCCTGAGACTGGTTAACATGTCCTTTTAATTAATAATCTCTTCAAGTCTGCAAGGGTCTCCCTGCTCCCCAAAATTTATTTGTTAGAGAAGCGGGGCTGCTTTTCCTGCGGAGCCTGCCAGTCTGAATGCTGCTCCGTTCGTACCCATGAGCGATGCAACGTGTTCTTCTGTGCCTGCGTGTCCTCTGAGTTGGCATTCAGATTGAGAGGCTTAGTAAGTGTGTGTCGTTCTTGGTCAGGAGCCCTATAGGAGCACATCAAGTGTCTCGTAAGTCTGGCTACCTTTCTTGTGGTGATAGTGCCCGTAGTAATAGATCTACTTCGTTAGGGAGTGAAAGAGTAAGCGCCTGTATTGATTACAAGCAAGTCAGTATGAACTACTTTACTGGGAAGCTTCAGAGTAATGATTGATTGCATATGGAGAAGCTATTTGCATTTGTATGTCCTTAAGTGAGACATCTTACCAAACTGTCTTACTAGTCCTCGTAGGTTTTTTAAAATAAGATTCTCTAGCACTTTCCAGTTGATTGTGCTGTCTGCCAGTTACGGTGAGTTCTGATTCCTTGCTTCCAGCTTTTCAGATCCCTTCTTTTCTTTCATCGTTACATCAGGAGTTCGGCCAAACTTTGAACAATATCAGCGGCGAGGTGTATCCTGTCCTGTACCCTGAGTTTTGCTAAGGGGACATCTCTGTGTCATTTCTCCCTTTAGGAACAGCTGGCCGTGAAGAGACTCAGTTTACCTCTCGTGCAGTGTCCGCCTCAGTCCCGCCCAAGGCTGCCAGGCCCTTCCTCGAGCCCCTCTCTCGTACGGGGTTCTGAGGTGTCCCGTTTTACCTCCACAGGGACCGCCCAGTCCTCACAGAAAGTTGAAGACTTGATGGAAATGGTGAAGAGGTTGCAGAAAGGTCATATGTCTCCCTTATAACTCAGGCTCAGACAGAAATGGATTCACTTCCAGACCCTACAGTTCATGGCCTTGGGAAATGAACTCATTACTCTTAATTTTAAAACTTAATTTCTTTAAATGAAAATATGGACCCATGATCCAAAATTAAAATATAAGCAGATAGCAAGCAAAACTTTTTCTTAAAACGCAGTTGCAGCCCCCTTGCTGCACCCATTTGATTCCCACTGCATTCCGTTAAACCCGGGTTTACACCTCCACCTCCCTGCCCTCGACCTCACCCCTGCTGCTCTCCGCTCCACACCCCCTACTCCCCCACCGCCACGCGGACCTCTGCACTGACTGCCTCCCACTCCCACCCACGGAGTGCAGAGCCTGTCCCCTCCCTTGATTTGGGACCCTCGAGCCTTCCCTGTATCTGAAGAATTATGTCCTGCTCCTTCCATCTTCAGTCCTTTCCCCTCTATTTCTCCTGACTACGGTTACTATAGCCTGAGTCAGTGTCTCGGTGTATCTGTTCCTTGTCTCCCCTACCTGCAGTGAGAGCCCCCGCGGCGCTCCCACCCACCCCGCCTGCCCTGCAATCTTCACTCAGCCTTCTTTCCTTCTGCAGTGGGAAGCCTAGAGCCCCGGGTTGAGGTCCTGATTAACCGGATTAATGAGGTTCAGCAAGGTGAGCTCAGGAACCTTGGTTTGTAAGCCAGGCGCAGCCATGTGAGTTGCAGGACCCCTGGTCCAGAAATTACTGTTTCACAACAGCACCACCAGGGCATTAAACCAAGCTTGATCCCAAAGCAGTTGTCACAGTAATGTGCCCATTGACCTGGGCCTGCTGCCAGCAGAGCCCCACAGGAAGGCCTCTGGAAACCTTGTTTTCCTGCTTTGTAACATCAGGGCCCCTCTAGTTTTGCTTGAAGACAGCTGTAAAATGTTACTCTTTGCAAGGAATGGTGCAGCTGGAGGCCGCACTTTCACAATGTCTGTCCTTCTTCCTTTTGGGGACAGCAAAAAAGAAAGCCAGCGAAGAGCTGGGAGAGGCCCGGACTGTCTGGGAGGCCCTGCAGAAGGAACTGGACTCACGTAAGCACTCTGGAGCTCACTCCAAGGTCCCCAGTGTCATGCCTTCCTGAACCCAGTTTTCCAGACACTCAGCTTCTTTGCTGTGGCCAAGGGCCCCTAGCCCCTCTCCAACCTCAGGTCCTACCATACTTCCACCTCAGGGCCTTTGCTGGGCTCTTCCCTCCAGATAATATAGGTTCCTGTTGCTTTACATCATCATTCAGCTCCCAGCTCAAATGTTCCGTGGTCAGGGAGAACCCACCCCAGTCGTCCCATCTAAAGACAACACCCTGCACCACCTGATCACATGCCCCCACCGCTGGCGTGTTTCTTCACAGCCCTTGCTCATGTGATGTGTTTACTTTGGCTCTCCGCTCTCTGTAAACACCTCTGTTCTGCAGGGTCCTCACAGCCACCTGTTACCAACATCAGGGCCCTTTGGTGCTCACAGGGAGTGTGGAGGGAGTTTGCCTGGAGGGGTCCACATTGGTGTTTCGGGGTAGGGCTGTACCAAACCACCCATGTGACCGTGGGCAAGCCCAGTCCCTGAGGGTGCGTTGGGTGGTCCCTGAGGACTGAACGTGTGGCTGTGTTTTCCAGTGAGTGGAGAGAAAGTGCGCCTGAAAGAGACCTTGAGCAAAAAGCAAGGTAATTGCGGCTACACCATCCCCAGGCTTCTGCCTTTGCTGCCCTTGGGAAGCTCACCGCCTGCAGAGCCGCCAAAGCCTTTTGACACTGGAATCAGCTTGCATGCCTCTTGCGGCTCCCACCAGACTTGCAGTCAATGACAAAGTCCCATCAGGTGTCCACGAGACGCCACGTGATGGGACCCTGTTACCTCTCCACAAACCTGATGCCGTGAGGGGCTCTCTCGGAGCCCCCGGTTCCTCTCCCTGCAGAGACCCTCCGGACCCTCCGGCTGCACTGCCAGGAGAAGGAGAGTGAGGCGCAGAGGTGAGAGCTCCTCGGGGCTACCTCCCCCTGCTCTTTCCTGCCCTGCCCCACCCTGCCCTCTGGTAAAGAAAGGAAGGGACGCCTCGCAGCCCACAGCGCTAGTTTTCTCCTTCTGTCGGAGGGACAGGCCACAGGCGTGTCTTCTCGTCTCACTCCTGCAGTCCTGTCACAGGTGGTCTCGCCGGGATCATCGTTCTTTGACCACAACACCAGTTCAGCCCCTTCAGCGGGTTTTCATTCTGTGCCTTCTGCTCTTCCCATGGGCTCCTTGACTGCCTGCTCTCTCACCTTCCCATCTGTCCCTTCATGGAGGGGTTGGGCCAACCCTCTGTCCTCTCAGCCTCTCACCAGTCACCCACTGCCTTCCCACCCACCCAGCTATTTGTGCGTCCACCTCCCCACCTCCTGAGCACTTAACGAAGCTCAGCTTGCAGCCAGAGGCACCGAGCCCTGGCATGCTAAGTAAGACTGGGCCTGTATGGGGAAGTCAGAGGAAACTAACGTGTGTGTGCTTCTGCACTCGACCATACCCATGTCAGTCTCCCTGATCTTCACAAAGGTATTTCCAAGGGCCATGTGCTCCTGTCCCCCACCCCCCACGAAGTTAGAAGAACCCCCATCTGGAAGGCTAGAGCAGCCCTTGGCAGAGGGAGGCAGCAGCCCCACCCCAGCCACTTCCTGGGGACACATTAGGAGAACATGTCTGAGGGCTGCCTCGCCTCCTCACAGGAAGCAGACCCTGCTGCAGGACTACAAGGAGCGGATTTCTGCACTGAACTCGGAGATTGAGGAAGAGAAGCGCAAACAGAGGCAGCTGAGGTAAAGCCCAGTGCCTGGGGGTGGGGAGGACAGCGGGGGTGGGGGGGGAGCTGGAAGGGATTGTGGGTGCGGCTGATGTCAGGGACGAGGTCAGAAGAACTAGCTGAGCTGCGGGTCAAGGCACTGAAGGTGCTCCAAGCAGAGCAAGGGACATAGGCAGCGCCCCAGGGCTGCAAACGAAGATCCCTGGCCTGGGCCAGGTTGGGAGGGGTCGCGGCCCATGACCCCTCATCCTGTGTGGTTGGCCCCCAGATTGGATTTCGAGGAACAGTTGGAAGATCTGATGGGCCAGCACAAGGACCTCTGGGAATTCCATGTGAGTCACTCAAAGAAGCCACCTTCCCCATCTTCCCCAGCAGAACCAGTTCCAAAATTCAGGGTCATCCTCCAGGCTTCCTTTCTGTCACCTGCTACACCCACTGCCCGAGCAAGTCCTGGTGGCTATACGTGAGAATCGCCTCCAGTCAGAGCCTCAGCCCCCCCCTCACTGCCTCCCACTTTCCTCCTTGTCACTCGTCCTGCCCACCCATCCCCACTGCCTTCCACGGGCCCTTCAGGGGTCAGGAGGGATCTTGATGACCCAAGGAGGGCTCGTACGTCAGGGAGATCCACGGACATGTTTGGGGACATCACAGCACAGCAGTGAAGAGGGTGAAGTGTTTACCACCAAGGATCCCAGCCTTCAAACCAGAAAATGGGCAGAGAGTGAATGTCAGATGGAAGGGCTCAGTGAGGGGCCACGCAGAGGGAAGAGGAGGAGACACTGTGCTGGGCCAGTAACTGATTCTCTGGAGAAGACCTCTGATTTGTAGTGTTGGCAGCATCCACAATAGTAAATAATTGCCCCAGGACTGCTTTCAAAGCTTAGAAAATTCCTGAACATTAACCCCTTTCGGAGCCTCTCCAGCTTGGCCCCATAGGTGTCTGGGGAGAAACAGTTCCAAGCAGAGGCAGTGGCCAGTGCAGAGGCCCTGAGGCCAGACACTGCCTGCCATGCTTGGAGGGCCAGAGTAGTGGGAAGTATGGCGTGCTGAGTGAAGACTAGGTCCAGGCAGGCCTCTCTGAGATGATTGGGGGAGACAGGAATGTGCATGGGCCTCCTTTCTACCCCCTCAGAGGCCAGAGCAGCTGGCGCGAGAGATTGGCACCCTGGACAGCAGCAAGGAGCAGTTGCTCAAGGAAGGTGAGAATGGGGAGGTTCTGGTTGGCCCCAGCCCGCCCCGCCCCGCCCCGCCCAACTGTCCCTTCTGCTGCAGAGAAATTGGTGGAGGCAAAGCTGGAGGACGTGAAGCATCGTCTGTGCTCCCAGTTTGGGGCCAAGGGCTGCTCTGCCATCACCGAGGGGCTCTTCCTCCGCAGCAAGGAGGCAGCAGCTGCAGTGTAAGACAGCAACAGGGTGGGGAGATGGGGCGGAGGGAGGATGCTACCAGCACTGATGCCCCCCACCCCCGCCCCAGACATCTGTTCGAGGAAGAGAACAGAAGGGCCCAGGAGCTCCTGGATAACACTGCCCAGCGCCATGAGCAGTTGCAGGAGAAGTGCAAGCAGCTGCAGCAGAAGAAGCAGAGGTGGGCACGGAGCCCCTCCCCAGCCCGTAAGGGAGGGTGGTAGGGAGGGTCTCTGTCTCCAGCCCCTGCCTCCTGGTCTCTGCCTGCCTTCTTGCCCCTCCTCCTGCCCTCCCCCTCTCCACTCTCCTGCCCATCCCTTTCCATCTAGGCTGAAGGAGGAGCTGGAAAACCTCGGAGTCCAGGTCACTGCTCAAGTCCAGGACAAGCAAGAGGACATGGCCAGCCCAGGAGAAGCTGTGAGCCCTGGAGTCAAGTGGCAGGAAGCAGAGACAGCTCGTGAAAGGAACTGGGGGGCGGGAAGGCAAGGAGGGGGCCCAGGGAGTCCTCAGAGGATGGTCTTCGGGGAAGAGCATTCCCACAGGGTACAGCCCCAGCAAATGTGTAGAAGCTGGCAGTGGTGGGGTGGGAAGGCACAGGCCCTGGGAGGGTGTGGCCACAGGGAGGCTTCCATCTCAGACCCTGACCTCCCACAGACCAATCCAAATCCCCTCAGAGTCAGCAAGGAGAAACGCTGCCCACCAAGCAGGACCTGATACCATCCTAGGCAAGGAGGCACCACCCTGCCCTGGAGCCTGCGCCATGGGCTTCAGGAAATAAAGGCACTATTTCTGCACAGCTGCCTCAGCCGGGTCTATGCCAGGGGCTTGGAATTAGGCGGCTCTAGACACCTGACCCCAGAGAGTGGGGCATCCTTGGCCACACTCTGGCTCTTGGCCTCAGCGGGCACTCAGACACTTCCCTAACCTCATAGACTCTGGTCTGCTCATCCCTAGGACCTACTGGTCTGGGTCCCCAGGCAGAGGATGCAGGCCTGAGACCCTCGCACAATAGGTGCAAGGGCTCTGAGAAGCCTCCCTGTGAGGGTCTCTTGCTCCGGTGTGGACTCCACAGAATCCCAGAAACCCCAGCAGTGAGGACCCAGGTGCCGCAGACAGCCCGTCAGTTGCATGCCCACAGTCGCCCCCGACTGGCTGTGGAAAAGAATGCAATTGGAAGCTAAGTGTGCATTGTGCTTTTGTGGGCACAAAACACATGAGACTTGTTACAAGAATACAATGTTAGAAAACCTCAGTGTGCTCGGAGCCGGTCACTTGGGGCTGTTGCCTCTGAGGCTTATTTCAGGTCCACCCCGTACGTTGACCCAGTTGAGGGCAATGTTGAGAGTCAGGTCTGTGCTCCTGGGTCAGAGTACAGTGAATTAAGTCCAAGGAGGTTCCCTGTCCTGAACGGCTCCCACACTCAGGACAGTGGGTGGTGGGGCTGGCAAGGGGCTCTCACAGGCCCCCAACCGAAGCATTCTGGCTCCACGGAAGAGGAAGAGCCTGTCTGGGGGACCTTGTCCAGTTGGTTGGAGAGCTCAGGTGTCCAGCCTCAGATGCAGACTCAGTTGTCTAGCTCTGAGATGGGGATGGTCATACTGGTGGTGTGTGTGAATCGGCTGTGTCCTGTCAAACATGAGTCTCATGAAATTAATATGTTCACCAGAATGATGTGGGAACATCACTTTTAGAAAACTGCAATCAGCCAAGTCCCTAAGTAGAACTAATTCTGAAGACTTAGTTCACAACAAAAAGTAAATAATCAGCTCAACTGATGATTAAAAGGCCTTTGACATCATGCAACACACACACCAAAAAAATCAAAAAGCTAGAGATAGGTGGTAACTTCGTTTACACTTACTGGTCATGTGTAAGGCACATTATTTGTGTTCAAACACTGTCCGCCCACTAGAAGTTCCAGACGGTGAAGCAGGAACCCAAGAGCAGAACTGCTAATGTGCTTCAGAGATGAGTCTACAGGTACATTACAGAATGGCTGGGGTACAAAGGTTTGCTAAACAGAGGTCAGTATTTTTAAAAATCTAATAGATGTGCCTGTATCAGGGCACAAGACCTAAAGTAACAATGCTGAGGTGTCTACAGTTTATTGCAAGAAAACAGCGGAGTATCACAGTAGCTTTCAAGTAAGGGTATGCCTCTCGGCCAGACACTGCTCACAGCAGCTGCTCGGGGGACACCGGGCACAGATGCAGCTTTCCTCTGCGTGGCTCACAGCCGCACTTCCTCGTGTTGGGAACCACCTGTGCACCCGTGCACAGGACACCTCAGACCTGGGGAGCCGTGTTTTTGCTGCAGAACAGCCTGCCTGTGCCCTCACCAGGACGAGCTGAGGGCCTGGTCAGTCCTGTGTTTCTTCTCTCGGTGAACAGCAGTAAGATGGTGTGAGCGACACCCGGGCTCAGCTCACACTAGTGTTGCACCTTTCGAGTCTGGGTCAGAGGTCTGTATGGGGCAGCTGCACTTCCTGCTCCAGCAAAACAACGCAGCCACTTGCAAGCATGCCAGGATTAGGCAGCAAGTGGCAAAAGGAAGTTCTAAAAATAGTATTTACAGTAGCATAGAACACCATGCATCTAGGAGTTAATGTAATGACAGGTGTACATGAACCCCCAGAACTGTGCAGTCCCCAGAAACGTGGACAGCCCACACAAGTGGAGTAGGATGTGTTTGTGAGCTGGGAACTGATGGTAACGGTGCCGTTTCTGCCCATAGTAACACGCGAATCCTTTGCAAGTTCAATAAACATGTTTTGGGTCTGTGCAAGTACAGATGACTGTAAAATGGGTGTGTAAGTGCAAAAGATGCAAAAACCCAACATTCAAAGGGCACCAGCAACATAGCCCCCAGCCGCGTGTCGGCTGCTTGAGGGCAAGCTGTGCCCTGAGTCTCGCCCCACTTCATGTGAGGGGTGTTGGAATGAGACTTCGGGCTTCAGGGTGGACGTGCAGCAGGTTCGACTTGGGGCTGTTGGGGTGAGGTCAATGTGTTTTGCATGTGAGGACACGGGCTCTGGGGGCTAGGGGCGTGTTGGAACCCTAACCCCAACGTGACTGCAGTAAGAGGTGGGGCCGCTGGGAGGTGCTTAGTCCTGAGGGTGAAGCCCCCTTAATGGGATTGCTGCCCTTGTATGAAGAGGCCAGAGAGCTGGCCAGCCCTGTGAACACACAGGAGTCGGCCGTCTGCCAACAGGCGGGCTGGCACCACAGCCCAGCAGGAGTCCGCCTGGGCCCTTCAGCCAAATGCCCCTGCCTGGGCTGGTTGCACATTTATGCTCAAAGGGCCCCCACTCCCTCCCAACTGTTCCCACCCCTCGGAGCAGCACTTCAGAATTTCCCTAAGGCATTCTCTCAAATTAAAATCGCCAAAGCAAGTGAAACGGCATTTTCTGGTCTCTCTCTGTGGCAGGAAGTTTGTTCTGCGTGGTATGATGAGACTGGCAGGCTCCTTTCACAGCAGGAGTGGTAGGGCTTCTGCAGTTGACTGGTTCGCCAGTTTGTCCAACTCAGGTTTGGGTCACACCCCGTGGTGGATAAAATGTGGAACAGTGGGCCCAATGGCATCCTTGTTCTAATCCAGGAACTTGCGAATGCGGTACCTTACTCGGCAAGGGGGCCTCGGAATGTGTGATGAGGATCCTGAGATGGGGGGGGTGACCTGGGAGGACCCCCATGAGAGGAAGGCAGGATGGCCGTTCAGAGAAAGGCCGGGAGATGCTGCAGCTGCTGGCTTTGGACGCGCCCCGCTCTGTTGAGGCCGGGGCGTGTGTGCAGCACGGGGAGGCCTGGCCTCCCTCCCCACTCTGCCCACCCAGCGGCCAGCAGAGAGCGGCTTCCCTCAGGCCTATGCACTGTCTCCAGGGCACCTGTGCCTCACACTTGCGAGCGGGGAAGGACACAGAGCGTGTAATGGGGCGGGACGCTGGCAAACCCATTGACGATGGGGCTGAGGTCAATGTCCTCGGGCGCAACAAGAGACTTCAAGCTGAAGTGCTGCAAAACGGCGGTGAAGAAGAGAAACAGCTCCATGCGGGCCAGGCCTTCCCCGACACACACCCGCTTTCCTGCAGTGGTGATGCACAAGAGAGACACTAAGGCGAGAGCCAGGTGGGGGGCTGGGGAGAGCTGCTGCCCTCCGCAGGAGGGACCCCTTCTGCCCGTGGGAAGGGAGCACAGACTGGGTTTCAGGGTGAGAGCATCAGTGACACATATTCAGGGACCAGCCTCACACCTCAGCCACCAGGACTCCGCTGCGTGACCCCTGGCAGGTTGGAGAGTGGTCTCCACCCGCCCCGTGGTCACCCCTGTGCCTGGCAGGAAAGGAGCCAGCGCTGTGGCGTGGGTGCTGAAACACCAAGTCGGTCCTGTGACCTTCCGTCACACTGACGTGTGAGGAGGGGCCCTGGGAACGGGACCGAGGCTGCTGGGCTGACAGCCCAGGAGAGACTGGATGGGCCCATGATGAGTCCAGGGAACCACCTGTTGTATTCTGTTTAGTAGCCCTGCAGAGAGTGAGGTAATATAGCTTTGAAAGATTTTTTTACCAAGTCCTAGCAAGAGTTATAGCTCTGAATGAAGTGAAATATCTATGTATGGAAAGATAATTTATCCCCAACGCCTCACTCCCAGGACTTCTGGTGAAAAGATGTCACTGCCTGCTCTGGACAGAGAGGAGCACAGGGGGGTCACACTGCGAGTACAAGTAAGGGGCACGGTGCAGGCCTGGGGTGACAGCAGATTACACGTGGAGTGGAGGGCAGGAATCCCGGACGACTCCCTGGGTAGGGTGCTGCATCTGAACTCTTACCTGTGGAAAATGCCTTGAAATAGTCACTGTACTTGAACTTCCCATTTTCATCCAAAAAGTGCTCTGGCTTAAACTTCTCTGGATCAGGGAATTCTTGGCTGTCAAACAAGAGGGAGCCCAGTGTTGGAACTACAACTGTACCCTGGAAGAATAAAGGCCGTCTCAGTCACATTCGCAAAACATGGGCTCAGATCTGCAGGCCCCCAGTGAAGAAGGGTGTTTTGAGTTTTACCTTACACAAAAGAGTGTGTTTCAGTTGAGTAAGTTGTTTGCTTACGGACCAGACAGAAAGCAGCCAGGGGTCAGGTCTAAAGGGTTAGTGGGAGCTCTAAGCTTTTTGGAGGAGTGAAGGGCCGAGTGTTCCTTGTATTGTCTGCTTTCCGGTATTAGAATACACCGCCAACCCGGGGGCTACTGAAGGGGTCCCTTTTCCACACTTCCCCGTTCCTGTGGTCACACGGTCCTTGTGGGGACTTCTGGGGGAACAGCGCTCTGAGGCGTGGGGGTGTGGCCCAGCCACATCTGCCAGAGGGAGGCGTCCTTGGGCCTCCATCCTGCCCCTGGGCAGGACAGCAGCTGAGCTGCTGGGACAGCACTTGGGCTGTGGAGCCCAGCTCACACCTGACCTTGGGGATGACGTATCCTCTGAACACCGTGTCCCGGGTTGCCTCATGGAACAGGTTGGAGGGCAGGAGGTTAATGAAGCGCTGGATCTCATGCACCACAGCATCCATGTAGGGCATCTCCAGCCTGTCCTTGACGGCGGGGACTCGGCTTGGCCCAATCACCCTGTCGATTTCTTCATGAAGTTTCTCTGCAACATAGGGATGGGCAGGTGTGAAGGACTGGCTCTGGGCTGGCCGCGCTCCCAGACAGCCTGCCGTCCACTCGGTAGGTGCTGACGGCGCACTCCCAGAAGCCTCGTGCTGTCGGGTGCCTAAGTCTCCCCCACACCAGTCAGTCAGAGCTGAGCTCGCCAGGAGGTAGTCTGCAGCACCTTTCGGCATCCATCCTTTTTTAATTGTTTACTGAGGTGACATCGGTTTATATGCTTCAGGTGTGCAGCCTTAGAGTTCCGCACCTGCACATGTGACATCATGGGCACCACCGAGTCTGTCACCACCCACCGCTCTCCAGTCACCGCCCCCAACTGCTGCTCCCTCCGTCCCCCGTCTGGTAACCACCGATCTGTTGTCTTGTCTCTGAGATGCCTCTGGTTTGGTTTGGTTTTTTAAATTCCACATATGGGTGAAATCATAGGGTATTTGTCCTTTTCTGTTGGACTTATTTCCCTCAGTATGGTAACCTCAAGGTCCACCCACACTGTCACACACGGCAAGGTCGCATTTTTATTGATACATACATACACACATATACATATTTGCTATGAATAACATCTTCATCCATCTGTCGACACACACTTGGGTTGTTTCAACATCTTGGCTGTTGTAAATAATGCTGCCGTGAATGTGGGGGTGCACATATTTTTTAAATTACCATATTTTTGGACTATAAGATGCACCCCTCCCCAATTTGGGAGGAATAATAGTTGTTAATGCTGCTATTGAGTTCTGTTTACATTTACATTGGTGAAATACTATGTTATTAAATATTTTACCACATTTTTTGCTTCAAAAATTTTTTTCCTATTTTCCGCCTCTAAAACCTAGGTGCGTCTTATGGTCCGAAAAGTACAGTAGCGGCTTTACAGTGTTTGGATAAATATTCAAAAGTTAAATAGCTAGATCATACAGTTATTCTACTTTTACTTTTTTAAGGAACCTCCACACTGATTTCCACAGTGGCTGCGACAACCTGCACTCCCACCAACAGTGTGAGAAAGTTCCCTTTTCTCCACGTCCTCCCCAACACTTCCATATGTCTCGTCTTTTTGATAATGCCACCCTAACAGGTGTGAGGGGGTATCTCACTGTGTTGTTGACCTGAATTTCCCTGACGATCAGCGATGTGGAACGTCATTTCATGTGCCGTTCGCCACTTGTAAGTTTCTTTGGAAAAATGTCTATTCAGGTCCTCTGTCCATTTTAAGGTCGGGTTGTTCAGTTGTTGTTGCTATTGTTGTTGAGTCGTAATGAGTTCTTTATATATTTTGGATAGTCACTCCTTATCACATACATGATTCGTAAATGCCTTTCCAGCTCCGTGAGTTGCCTTTCATTTTGTTGGTAGTTTCCTGTGCAGGAGCTTCTTAGTGTGACGTGGTCCTGTTTATTTTCTGTTTTCTTTCCCTCGTTATTGGAGTCAAATCCATAAAAACTTCACTAAGAGTGATGCCAAGGAGCTTAGCACATATTTTCTATATTTTGTGGCTTCAGGTCTTACATCCCTGTCTTCAGTCCACTCAGAGTTAATTTCCGTGTATGGCACAGCACTGTGGCCTAGTTTCATTGTCCTGCATGTGGCTGTCCAGTTTCCCTAACACTGTCATATATATACGTCTTGCCCTTTCCCTCCTCTCCTTCGACAGTTTGTTGCCACAAACTATCCCTTTTTATGTTGTGAGCTTCTTACCCAATTAAAACAGTTACAGTTATTTTTAATGCTTTTCCCTTTAACTTTTATGCTGTATTCTGAAACAGCTTTGCAATTTTCTGATTCTGTCCATCTACCCATCTCCTTACTCACCGTTTTGTGTAGTTTTGCCTTTTCATTTCAGGTAGAAGAGCTCCTTCCAACCTTTTCTGCAGAGCAGCTCCAGCGGCGGAACCCTCCCTCCGCTGCTGTCTGGCTGGGGAGCCCCTTGTCTCTCCTTCGCATCGGAAGAATGACTTTGCTGGATAGAATCTTCCTGGCTGGCAGTTTGTATGTTGCAAGACTTTTTAATCTGTCACTGCTCTCTCTCCTGGTTTGCAGAGTTCTGCTGAGAGATCTGCCAACAGCCTAATGGGGTCAGCCTTTGTGGGCTGCTGTCTTTTCCCCCGCCTGCCCTTGAAGTCTTTCTGCAACACCGACTTCCGACGGCTTTAAAACAACGTGTTGGAGAAGGCTTTCCTGCACTGAGGTGACTGACTGCTCGCTGTGCCAGCTCTCCGCCAGCTTTGGGAAGTTCTCGGGCATTATTTCCCTAAATAAGTCTTCTGTTCCCTTTCACTCTGCCCTCATTGTGGGATGCCCACCCTTCTGTGTTGCCTTTTTTCTAAAGGAGTCAAATAGTTCTCCCGGAGCTTCTTCATTTTTAAAAGCCTCAGGTCTCTCTCCTCTCCTGCGTGACTCATTGCTGGATTCTGTCTCCCTCCCACGAGCTCTGCCCCATTCCGGGTGCTCTCTGCTGCACCTGCGTCTCACGCATGCAGTTCTTCAGCCCCAGATTTCCTGTCTGGTTCTTTCTCAGAGTTTCAGCCTCTTTGGTAAAATGCTGCTTCCGCTCATTAACTTCACTCCTGAGTGCGCTGAGCGGTCTTTCTGAGTTTCCTCATTGAGCTATTTTGCATTTGCTCTCCACTAGCTCGCACCCTCCTGGGGCTTTCGGTTTGGGTTCTGGTGAACCGTCCACCACGCTGGCACGATTCTTCGTGGTGTTCGATGAGTTCTTCCTCTGCCGCGGCGTTCTCAGTAGCAAACACTGTTCCTGGTTAGGAAAGGCCTCTACTTTGGGAGAGTTCGGAAGGTTGGTAACTGGAGGTCATTCTCTTGTCTTCCAGTAGAGGGCAGGACAGCCCACATTTTTGGCTTCTCTTACCTGATAGCCTGGGTTCTAGTTCGGAGCCAGCCCTCTGCACCCTCTACTGCCTCAGCCGGAGGAGCAGCCCAGGCCCTTGCTGACCCCTAATGCCTCTGAGGTTGCCGGTGCCTTGCTGCTGCCAGGGTCACAGGCACCTCTGTGGCACCCAGGGTTGTCGGGTTTGACGGCACCCCCGCAGCCGCAGAAGAGGGGGCTGAAGTTGTGGGCACCGTCGCGGCAGGGGGACCGGGCTGCAGATCCTATTACCACGGCCACCCGGCTCCCTGTGGCCTCCAGTGTCTCCGCTGCCCGGGACTAACCCAGGCCTTGACGTCATGGCAGAAGCAGAAGACATCAGCAGGGTCTCACGGATTTCCATGAGGAGAGAAACCTCCGGGTGCATGATGACCTTGGGCTGCTCTGCTGCGTGCCTGTAAGGAGCGTGCGGGCAAATGGCGGGGTGGAAACAGACACGCGTGTCCACTCTGGAAGAGCCTCTGGGAACAGGGGTCTGGAGGTCCCCATCTTGCTGGCAGGGGCGATGGCGACCTTTGGCAAGTTACTTGTCCTCTCTGGGTTCCTGGTTTCCCTGAGCCTTTACAATATGTTGAGTGAACTACAAAGTTACGCACAGTTTGGTAGCTGGGTAAAAACTGAAGTCACACACAACAGGACAGATTGAAGGCCGACCCTTGAGAGAGTGAGACGGACCGGAGGCAGGAGGAGGGGCTTCAGCTGGCTCCGGACTCACTTTCTGCTCAAGAGCCCTGAAGCGGACCGCAGAGTGTGCGCACGTGTGGGATGTGGCAGGGGGGGTATGGGTGTCTCTCATCTATTTTCTTTCTCTTTATATTAGAAATTTCTCATAATTAACAACGTAAAACACTTTAGAGTGTATGGTCCCCGGGGCAGCGAGGTCAGAAGTCCCCGAGGGCCACCACAGGCCTGGGCAGGGCCCCGCCCCACGGCCCTCACCCCCCGCTTCCCACTGGAAAGGAAGAGCACCGCCGCGGTGCCGTGGTGCCGCGGTGCTGGCGGAGCAGCCCTGGCCCGGGAGGGCCATGCATCCGCACACCTGGGGAAGCTACTTCTTACCCTGTAACAGCTGCCCTCAGGCGCTGTCAGACAGTGTCTTAAAGGGCTTCGGCCCGTGCCTGGCAAACGGCAGGAGTCCCACTATTACCAGCAGTGGCCAGTGCGGCTGGGGGTGGTGGGCAGCTCCTTGAAACGAGGCCACCCCGGCCCAGCCTGGAAGGCAGCCGGGTACTCAGGGGCGGCGCGGAGAGTATCGTCAGCATCACAAACGGGCTCTGCCCCAGCGCAGAACGCAGGCGGCACCCGATGCTCTGCGATGCTCCACGCTGGTGCGGGGCCTCCCTCCGCAGAGTTCGGGGGTGCCGGGCAGTTGTCAGGTACAAAGACACTCCCTCCATCCCCCGAGAATTTGTCCAGTGACCCCACGTCAGTCCTGCAAGGGCTGACAAGCAATGCCACTTACAGAAGAAAGCTGACACCTAAATGCTGTAGGCTGGCCGTTCAGCTGAGACAGCCACATAGCCCCGGGCTCCTTGCCCGTGACTGGACGTACCTTCAACCTCCGGGTACTTCAGGAGAATCAGGAGCCCATATCTCAGGGTCATGCTGGTGGTCTCCGTCCCCGCGAAGAACAGGTCGGCCACAGTGGCAGCGATGTTGTCCAAGCTGTGCCCGGGCTCTTCGCTGTACTGTCGCTGTGGGTGTCACAGACAGATGGGGACTCAGTGAGGTGACATCTTCGAGCGAACGAGGAGACCCTGGCGTCCATCCCTCTGCGGAAGAGCAGCCCCGGCCCCGCCAGCCCCACAGGGAGGACGGGCAGACGTGCGCAAGGCTGTCCTGTGGAGGCACAGCCGCCTCCTCCGCACGGCCAGGGAGCCGAGCCTCCCGGAAAGGTGAGGGCCTGTGCCTGGCCCAGGCCGCCTCTAGAGGGCGGAGCCTGCTCCAGGACGGCGCCGCTCGGCCCGGTCCTGCAACGCGACCTCCAGCAGCCTGAGGCCGAGCTGTGGGCCTCTGCACACCACCCAGGGGAGTCACAGGGAGGCTGAGCCTCCAGAAGGGCAGTGAGGGGTCCAGCTGCTGGGGCCATCACCCTGGGAAGTCACCTGCTGTTCCAACGCCACACGTGACGTCAAAGAAAAGAGGCGACGAGTGACCAGTCCGCGCTGGGGGTCCCGAGGGGCTGTCAGGTCGACAGCCCAGCCGACCGTCTCAGAACTGCCGAGCACTTGAGGAACCCCTCGGAGCCATGCACAGCCCGGGGTCCGCATGCAGAGGGGGGACGCCGAGGGGCTCTCCCCAGATGAGGCACAGACAGGGTCAGGGCGCACGGCAGGGAGGGAGCTGGGTGAGGGGCCCCAGTGCGTGTTCCACAGCCTCTGCCCGCGTCCCCCAGGCACAGCTGTGCGGCGTTGAAGGGGCCAGGCAAGCCGGCTGTGTGCAAGCAGCGTGCAGTGGCCACACTGAAGCCGCCGTGTTTGTGTGAAACCAGAAGCGTCGGAACGGACCCGTGTGGGTGGTCTGGGCACTGTCACAGCAGTGCCGGTGACAATATAAGTCAGAGAAACACCCGCCTCCCCACAGCCAACGCAGAGCAGCCGAGCACGCGGCTGCCGGGGCCCGGGGCCTGGGCACCTTCTCCATCTCCATGAGCAGGCAGTCGATGAAGTCCCGGGGGCAGCTGGGGTCCAGGGTCTCCCGGTGCTCCTGCACTCTGTCCGAGGCGTAGGCTTTCAGTTCAGACACGTTCCTCAGTACTTTTCTGTGGCTCCCGGGCAGGTAGCACAGATAGCTTTCAAAGAAGTTATAAACCTGGAGAGAGGGAGAGCGAGAGAGAGCATCTTACTACATATGTTTATTTTTCTGGACGCAACATAATTGTGTGTGCTGGACTGACGTTTCTCCGAAGCTAAATCTAGGGCTGCCACTACTGTGTCTTGCGTGATGCTTCGGCCCCCGGGACCGTCTGGGCAGCCCTCCGACAGGCGGCCTGTCTGTGCGGAACTTGAACCCACGGCCCACGCATCACTCGCACGGTGGGGACCGATTTGCCGGAGTGAAACATTAAGCGTCCCGGGCACAGCAAAGGGCCGCACCGGGCTCACGTCCCCGGGAGGGGTGTGCAGGCCTGTCTGTCCACACCCCGGGAGCGTCCCTGCCCTGGTCCTAGTGAGGTCGGCACAGCTGCAGACCCGAGCGGACTCGGGACAAAGGCGGGGAGTGGCGTCACCTGCGCCCAGGGCGTGCTGACCAGGTACATGTTCTCATTGAACAAGCGCTGCAGCCTCAGGCTGGTGCCGTCGTCGTAGTCGAAGCGCCGGCCGAAGAGGATGTCGGCGATGACGTTGCAGGGGGCGCGGCCCAGGAGAAAGGTGGGGTCGAAGGGCTGGCCTGGACAACAGGAGCGGGTGAGCCGCGGGGCGCTGCTTCGCCCCTCGGCTGCTGCGAAGAGACGCCCTAGAAAACCTGGCAGTTCACGAAAAAGGTAGGGGTGCTGGCACCCACTGAGTCTCTTTACCTCTCAGTGATCCGGATGCAACAGTGACACACGTGTCACCACTCTTGCTCCCCCTCCCCCCGTGGGAGAGGCACCCCGAGTTGGGAAACGGGCCTCCCTGCGAGCACTTGAGGTCCCGGGCCCAGACCTGGGCACCACACGCACCGTGCGTCTTCCTGAGCGCCTCCATCAGGAAGGGGATCTCCCTCTGGATCCGGGCCTCGTTGCCCTGCTTCCCCATCCCGTAGTCTCGGAGGATGCTCAGGGAAAACCGCCGGGTGTCCTTCCAGCTCGGGCCGTTGTTGAAAGTAACCCCTAGGGAGCAGGGGCCGCGGAGGAGTTACTGCCAATGCCCAGACCGCGATCGCGCGTCAGGGCAGCCGGGGACCCACCGCAGACCCGCGGCTGGAGCGCGGCGCGGGCACAGCTCGTGGGTCCCTGCCTGCCTCGCCCGTGGCTCCTGGCCCCACTGCACTTAAAACTGGTTCCGGGACAGAAAACCATGCCTGTCAGCCCTTTCCAGTCTAGGACGGAATCCCCCCAAACCCACCCCGTTTTTGAGTGTTGCCTTCACATCGCCGACACCTCAACTTGCAAGCCTGCGCCCCACAAAGTGTCCTGAGTGTGGAGGCCACAGGTGCCCTGGCGCGCAGACCAGCAGCTTGGGGACGACCTGCAGCAGCTCCCCTCCCTGCGAGCCCAGGTCCAGGACAAAGGGGCGCAGCCAGCCGGGATGGCACTGGGCGCCAAATTGAGCACGAGAAGGAGCCGGGTTGGGGGTCCCGGGGCGGGTCTGTGGGTCTGAGCTTGAGGTTCCCATGCGGCTTTGCGCAGCGAGGAGGGGGTTGGTGGTGTCCATGCTCGGGAAGCGTGCCAAACTCAGGTTTCCATCGGGGTCGCCAGCCTGGTGACCCAGCAGTTGGGGGGGATGAGCAAAGGACAAGAGGGACCAGAGTGTCCCCCAGGAGGTGGGGACCAGAGCCATGCACCCGAGCCCAGAGATCAGAGACACCGCCAGGGAGGGCTTGGTGGGCCACAGCCAGGGGCAGGCAGGTCATTCAAAATGTCACAGGCACTTCCGGCCAAGATGGAGGCGTAGGTAGACACACTGTGCCTCCTCGCACAACCAAAAGAAGGACAACAACAAATTTAAAAACAAAAAGTAACCGGAACTGCCAGAAGACCAAACTGTATGGAAGTCTGACAACCAAGGAGTTAAACAACACACATCCATCCAGACCAGCAGGAGGGGCGGAGGCGGGCAGCTGGATGGAGAGGACGCCCAGCAAGCTGGCGGAGCAGGCGGCCCCACACTGGCACGCAGATGATCCGGGAGGAGCACCTGGGGAGCAAGACCGACGGCACAACCCAGGGCCCCAGCTCGGGGAAATAAAGCCTCAAACCTCTGACTGAAAACACCTGTGGGGGTTGAGGCGGCAGCAGGAGAAACTCTCAGCCTCACAGGAGAGTTTGTTGGAGAGACCCACAGGGTGCTAGAATGTACACAAACGCACCCACACGAGAATCAGCACCAGAAGGGTCCACTTTGCTTGTGGGCAGCAGGGGAAGTGACTGAAATCCGGCAGAAAGCAGAGCAAGCCACACTGTTCCCTCTCGGGCCCCTTCCCCACAGACCCGGATTGCCCCGCCCTGGTGAACACGTAAGGCTCCTCCCCTCGCTAGGTAACAGGTGTGCCAAGACAAAAAAAAATTACCCACATGAAAGAACAGTTCAAAGCTCCAGATAAAATACAACTAAGTGATGGAGAGCCAACCTATCAGATGCAGAGTTCAAAACACCGGTAATCAGGATGCTCACAGAATTGGTTGAATATGGTCACAAATTAGATGAAAAAAAATGAAGGCTACAATAAGTGAAATGAAGGAAAACACACAGGGAACCAATAGTGATGGAAAGGAAACTGGGACTCATATCAATGGAGTGGACCAGAAGGAAGAAAGAAACATCCAACCAGAACAGAATGAAGAAACGAGAATTTGAAAAAATGAGAAGAGGCTTAGGAACCTCCAGGACAACTTTAAACGTTACAACATCCAAATCATGGGGGTGCCAGAAGAAGGGGAAGAGCAAGAAATGGAAAAGTTATTTGAAAAAATAATGAAGGAGAATTTCCCAAATCTGGCAAAGGAAATAGACTTCCAGGAAGTCCAGGAAGCTCAGAGAGTTTCAAAGAAGTTGGACCCAAGGAAGCACACACTAAGGCACATCATAACTACATTACCCAAGATTAGAATTACGGAGAGAATCCTAGAAGCAGCAAGAGAAAAGGAGACAGTTACCTACAAAGGAGTGCCCATAAGACTGTCAGCTGATTTCTCAAAAGAGACCTTGCAGGCAAGAAGGGGCTGGAAAGAAGTATTCCAAGTCATGAAAGGCAAGGATCTACATCCAAGATTGCTCTATCCAGCAAAGCTTTCATTTAGAATGCAAGGGCAGATAAAGTGCTTCCCAGATAAGGTCAAGTTAAAGGAGTTCATCATCACTAAGCCCTTATTGTATAAAATGTTAAAGGGACTCAGCTAAGAAATAGAAGATCAAAAATATGAACAGTAAAATGACAACAAACTCACAGCTATTAACAACCTAAAAAAAACCTAGGCAAACCGCGGGCTGGGAACCAAAGTGTCCCAGGTTCGATTCCCAGCTAGGGTACATGCCTGGGTTGCAGGCCATAACCCCCAGCAACTGCACATTGATGTCTCTGTCTCTGTCTCTGTCTCTCTCTCCCCCCCCCCACTCCCTTCCCTCTCTAAAAAAAAAAAACAAACAAACAAAAACAAAAAACAAAAAACTAAGCTAACGACTAGAACAGGAACAGAAACACAGAAATGGAGATCACATGGAGGGTTACCAGTGGGGAAAGGGTGGGAAGAGAGGGGGAAAAGGTACAGGGAATAAGTAGCATAGACAATAGGTAGAAGATAGACAGGGGGAAGGTAAGACTAGTACGGGAAATGTAGAAGCCAAAGAACTTGGATGTATGACCCGTGGACACGAACTGAAGGGGGGATGCAGGTGGGAGGGGGTGTGCAGGACGGAGGGGAATAAAGGGGGGAAATGGGACAACTGTAATAGCATAATCAATAAAACATATTTTTAAAAAATTAACACATCAAGAAATAATAAAGGCTTGGCTTAAAATGAATGTGGGTATAGTAATGACTGTTGTTAACGGCATTCTTCACAATAAAACCCACACATCTTCTGGTTTAAAAGCAGCCACAGGAAGAGAGGTGTAGCAAGGGGCGGGCGGGCAGGCAGACGCAGGCGGAGACAGGAAGGCAGGGGGACGCCGAGGCAGAGGAGGAGGAGGAGGGGGAGGCGCGGAGGCGGAGGCGGGGAGGCGGACGAGGGGCCGCAGAGCTGGGAGCCGCCAGCCCCGTGTGGGGTCCAGTCGGCTGAAAGGAGGATGGGAGTGGCTTCCCCGTGAGAGCTTTCCGAAGTGTGACTGGATGAGGGCGCGGGTCCTGCGCGCGCGCGCGCGCACACACACACACACACACACACACACACACACACACACGCAGCCCGTGCTCCCACCACTGTGCCGCCGCTGAGCGTCCGGGGCCCGGCTGAAGGCAGGGCTTTGCAGCGCCCCCCTCCGCCCTGCCAGGAGGCGGCGAGGCCCCCTTGGGTGCAGCCTGACTGCACTCCGGGCCCACGCCTGGGACCAGGGGTGGCGGCAGAGGACTCTGGGGACCGCGGGGCGCCCTCTGGTGTTCATGACAGTGGCGGAGGTGGCCGGTGGTGCTTCGGTCAAAGCCAGAGAAGTGAAACAAACCCACCACGTGCCGCGGAACCCGGGAGGTGGGGAGTGGACGGATCGGGTGAGGGCAGCGTGGCCAGCTGCACACGCGTCCATTTGAAGACTCCACGTGAAATAGACGAGCATTTTCTAGAAACTTGTTACCAAAGTTGACTCAGGAAGAGCAGAGGCTGCCCCATGTCGTGCGGCAGACGGGACACTGTCTATTTCTGATCTGCTTCGGGTCTCCCGAGGCCTCACCCGCAGGGAGTGCGCGGGCACGAGCAGGAAGGTCGAGGTCGGGACAGAGAGCGCGGCAGGCGGGGCAGCGAGCATTGGGGTGGCAGCTGAGGAAGGGAGCCCCAAGCCGGCAGTGTCCCCCACGGCTCCAGGGCACCCCAGCAGACGGAGAAGGCAGGGTCTGGGGTTAGGGGTCTGGAAAACACTCAGCTACAGGCCACTCACAGCCCCAGGCCCAGCCCTCCTCCGGCTGCAGGCAGTGACGGGCGTGTTTTCTGGAAAAGGGGACTTCGGGGCTGGGGAGACATGAGGCGCACAGGACAGGGAGGTGAGGCTCAGGGGACCGCCCCGTGGGAGACTCATCCTGAGCCGGGCTGCACTCAGCACCCCCGTCCTGCTCCGAGCACAGCCGCAGGTGGGGCACCGGAGGCCCCGGACCGCAGCTGAGCAAAGCCCCGCGGACCCTCAGAGCGTCCAGCAGGTTTCGGGGCCGGCCGTGCTGGGCGGACCCCAGAGGCTGGAGCCGCCACGCCCAGGAGCAGCTGAAGCTGTGAGTGGGGACAGCGTGGAGGAGACCGGGGGCCCGGAGGCCCGAGGTCTGCTGGCCCGTCTGGACCCCCCTTCCGTCACCCCTCTGTAACCCCCGCTGTGGAACAGTCGCTGCCCTGCTGACAGGCTGCGGGTGCGGCGGGCCCTGGTCCTTCGGGGCGAGAGTGTCGCAGAGGCTTTCGTGAAAGTGCGGGTCGGGCGAAAGAACTCACCGGCCGTGCCCCGCCCCGTCTGGGCACCCGCTCCCGTCCACCCTCTCCGGGACTCTTGTTGCCACCGGGCAGCCCCTGCCAGGCCCCGAGAGCCCACCGCCGGCGGCGTGCGGGCCAGGAGGTACCTCTGTGCTTGTGCTCCCGGAACACGACGTATTCTCCTCTGCCGGCGAAGTCACTCTTGTGCTGCAGCAGGGCCTCCCTGACCGCCTGGTAGCCGTGCAGGACCACGATGGGGCGGGAGCCCAGGTGCACAGTGAGCACCGGCCCGAAGCGCTCCGCCAGCTGCGAGACCAGCAAGCGGGGAGCGAGGTCACGGGGGCGGGGGAACGGGAGGACCATGCTTCAGACTGACCCCCCGAGTCCTGGCTGCTGACCGAGAGAACCCAGAGGGACCCGGGGACTGTCTAGGTGCAGCCTCGCTTGGGGAGACCCTGCAGGGACTCGGTTCCAGTGCACCTGTGCCCCCAGCCATACCCACCTGGCTGTGGCTAATCCCCCCACCCCATGGGTCTGCTTCTCGTGTCTCTCCCCTGAAGCCACTTTGTCCACCTCTGCCCTGGCACCTGCACTGTTTGCCGTTTCCAGTCGAGGTCATGGGCCCCGGGCACTGCAGGGAGACCCCGGGAGCCCACCTCCCATGGCACATGGAGCCCTGTCAGTGCCCCCGCCCCCAGGCGAAAACCCTCTCCACGCCTCCCCTGTGTTCTGTGCAGTTCTCTTATCGACTCCCTGAGTAGATTTATCAACTCCGTTGTTTCTTCTTCTATTGTTTATCCTCACCTGAGGACATTTTTTTTCATTGCTTTTTAGAGAGGGTCAGGGGACAGAGAGAGAAGAATTGACTGGTTGGGGCTCAAACCTGCAACCTGGCATGTGCCCTGACCGGTAATCAAACCTGAGTCACTTTGGCCCACGACACGATGCTCCAACCACGTGCACCGCACCAGCCAGGGCTCAGCTCGTTTAGCGTTCAGGTTTGTCCGCTCACTCACTGCTCCCAGCAACCGTAGGGGAAGGTACGGGCCCACTGGCCACGCACCTCACTTTTCCCTGTTCTTCGGCATCTACGGAGAACTCCAGGTGGACGCCACGCACCGCAGCGGCCTCGCCCAGCCAGCCGCCAGCGAGGCGGTGAGCACGCGGCTCAGGCAGGGGCCTCTCGGGCCGTCTGCAGCCGACGCCCGTTCGAGGGCCCCAAGGCCAGGCCGCCCTGTTAGCTGGGTGTTTTGAATATCACTCCTGGACACTGCTATCCATTCAGATCATACAGAACAGTTGGTCTACAGTGTGTTGAACGCACAAATATTACGTCTAACTCCCCAATTCTCCTTCCCCAAATCAACCGCACTTCCCTTACCTTGGTGAAGGACTTCGGTATATTGTTGAGTTCCAACTGAAAAATATTCCCAAAGAAGGGCAGCGGGAAAGGGCCAGGGGGCAGCTTCCAGCGGCTGTGCACCTGCTTGCAGAGGGAGAGGAGCAGCAGGGTGGCCACCCACACCAGCAGGGCGGCCGTGACGCCCAGGACAGCCATGCCGCCTGTGCGTGTGGCGGGGGTGTCTCTGCCCACCCTGGGGAAGGCCAAGCTCTTATAGTGCATCCTGGAGAAGGAGGGGGACCAGCATCCAATGCTGCCACTCTTCTCCTCTGGCCCCGGATGCTGGTTTATGATTAGCTGCTGTTGGCCGTCCTCCCAGGGCTGCTCCTCGGCGGCCGCCTCTGGCAGCATCCGGGGCCTGTCAACACTGCTGACATCTGCGTTATGTCAGTGTTGACTCGAGGGTCCCCAGGCCCGTGGAGAAGTTTCATGTAAACTCATTTGAGCCGAACAGAGGCTACACCTGGGAGCAAGATCTCAACAGACTGAGGAAAATACTTGCAAGGATGACAGTGTGCAGCTTCTTTTCAGCATTTGGATTCAGGTGGAACAGAGGGGGTTGAGTGGAGGCGGGATAGGGCAAGGCAGGCCTAGGGTCACAGGAGAGTCAGCGAGACGGGTGCTCCTCGGAGATGTCTGGGGAGACGATTGCTCGGGCGTTTCCAAGGTGTGGTGACAGAATGCACACGAACAGTGGACAGGGTTGCTTAGCAAAGATGACCTTTCACCAGAGAAGCTGTAGGCCTGAGCTGTGACTCCCCACACGGCCTGCCCAGCGAGGATTTGTGACCGGGTCACCCCGGCAGCTTCCTTGTGGTTAGATTTTCCGGAAGCCCCTTTCCATGCACATCAGTAAACCCAGCGTCCAGAGTCACCCGGACCTGGGGCTGTTACTGGCGACCTGGGTTCCCAGGACCTCCCAGAACAGACACCTGAAGAGGTCAGACACGGACAGAGAGCTGGGGGCATGGGCCAGGAATCCGACCCGGGTCTCCACGGCGGGTGGGAACCCCATCACGGAACGACGCTGGGGTCTCTGGGGCTCCAGAGACAGAAACCAAGAGAGTCTGATAGGAGAACTCGGGAGTGCAGAGTCCAGCTTCAGTGACAGTGGAGAGGCTGCAGTGCCGGGAGCACGTGGACAGCCGCTGTTCCAGGAACTGCAGTGCACGACCCACCCGTGGCTCCGGGAGGTGGGCAAGCAGTTCGACCTTTGTGCCCCAGGGGTCTGCAAGCCCTGGAGATGGTACCTGAGCTATTGCGTTCCGGGGAGGGATTAAAGAGGTTTTTTTTTAAGATTTTATTTGTTTAAAATAAAATCTAAAAAATAAATGAAAATTTAAAAAAAATTGTTTAAAGATTTTATTTGTTTAGTTTTAGAGAGAGGGGAAGGAATAGACAAAGGGGGAGAGAAGCACCCATGTGTGGTTGACTCTCACACGCCCCCTACTGGGGACCTGGCCCGCAACCCAAGCGTGTCCCCTGGCTGGGAATCAAACATACGATCCTTTGGTTCGCAGGCCACACTCAGTCCACTGAGCCACACCAGCCAGGGCAAGAGTTGTTGATCAACCAAGAAAGAAGTACCATGTTTTGCCATGTATAATGCACACTTTTCTGCCCAAATTTTTGAGGGAAAAAATAAGGATGCACATTATACATGGGTAGTACTAATTCTACATCTATATAACTGTTTTTAATGCTTTTATGTATGCTGATGCATTAAAGATGTAACTCTAGAAATCAATAACCATATTTGTATGCAAAATAATACCCTGGAATATGATAATCAGTCTTGTTGAACTTGGGACGAACTTGCAAAAAAGCAGCATCAGCCAACAGTTCGACAAAACGAAACGCAGAGCGACGCAGCGTTGCCCACAGAGTGAGACGCGATGCCGACCACCATCCGCTTGAGAAGACCGGCGATGCCGGCGTCACGGCCATATGGTGAGCAGCGCGACATTTCTCCTCGTACACTTCAGGCGGGAGAGATTATTAGAAAAGGTCAAAACACTGCAAGCTTTAAGCTAAAGGTTATTAGGTGTGCTAGAAAGCGTGGCAACAGAGCTGCTGACAGGCCCTCTGGACCGCCCCCCACGGAGGGTGCCGTCGGACCGTGGGGCAGCAGGAGGAAGGCTTCTCCAGGTGCCCAGAGGGAAGGAGGCAGGGCGCGGGGGGCCTCCAAAGTGGCCAGAGGTGGAGTGGGAGGCGGAGGCCTGGATTCGGGCGCGGCGGCAGACCAAGGGGACACAAGACAGTAAAGGGACTGCACGAGGAAAAAACTGATGACTTCTCGAGACACCTAAGTGGGGCTATGACTTTATGGAGAGAGAAGGTTTGAGCGTGAGGACAACTTGCCCAAAAACTCCCAGCAGCCTATGAGAATCGAGTTTTGGGAGTTCATTCTTATGTTATCTATCAGTCTTCGGAAGACCTACAACTTGGAGCTGTCCACACGTCGCCAGCGTGGAGGAGGCCCCACTCATACCTGACGTGCCATCCCCCAGAACCGCAGACGCCAGAGGAGCAAAGACCGCGGCTGTCAGCAGCAGGGGTCGGGAGAAAACACATTTCACTGCTGTTCCAGCCTGTTGTGCAGGCGGGACCAGGCCCCACCTGTGGTCATCTTTAAAAGAAACACGTTTCCGGAAAAAGAGATTCCAAGCGCTGCTGTCCACGTGCGTGAAGACGGATGGAGGAATGAAGAAGGCGTGGAAGTCTGTTTCAGCGGAGTCTGCTCACGAAGGCCTGGAGGGTTACTGAAGAAACCAGCTTTGCTGGTTTCTTACCACTCAAAGCCCATGTTACACAAACGGCAAAGGCAATCGCGGAGGACTTGAAAACCCTGCTTGCTGTGATGCTTGGTGGCTAAGCAGCCACCTGCAACCTCTTAACGTGTCAGGAAACAAGCCCTCTAGGGCCCTAACGGGAGGAGAATGACGTGGTGGATGCAGTCAGCTGGTAATGACCTCACACGTAGCTACAGGCAGGATCGAGGAAGCATCCACTGCCCGGGTTTGTGGACCCTGAGCTCATGGAACAGTATCAAGAAGGAAGTAGCTGTGAAGTCGGTTAAAAACGCGGCATCAGCAACTCTGTGGATGGAGCTGAGGATGGTGAGATTGACAGGGATGAGGAAAGGGACCCCTCAGAAGACACTGGTGATATAGAAACTGAAGGAGACGATACTTCTGATAGTGACAGTGATGAAGACTTCTTGGCCTTCAATAACGCGTAAATATCATGAATTTGTTATGGGTAGATAACATTTTTTGTACCTAGTATCTGTTCTTGTGTTTTGTAATTCCTTGGGTTTTTTTTTTAAGTTTTATTTATTTATTTTTAGAGAGGGGGAGGCAGGGAGAAAGAGAGGGAGAGAAACATCAATGTGTGGTTGCCTCTCGTGTGCCCCCACTGGGGACCTGGTCTGCAACCCAGGCCTGTGCCCTGACTGGGAATTGAACCGGCGACCCTTTGATTCGCAGGCCGGCACGCAATCCACTGAGCCACACCAGTCAGGGCTGTAATTATTTGTTACATAAACTTTCTTATACCATAACATGTTAAAAAATAAATGCTAAAATTTCTTTATAACACAAAAAAACAGGTATCTAAATAGAAATTAATAATTGAATTAAAAAATTAAAACAAAAGATTTTTTTCCTGGAAGTTTGGGCCAAAAGCATGAGTGAGCGTTATACATGGCAAAATACAGCACTAGCAAAACCACCTGCTGGACTGCAGCTCTTACCCGTCAACCTTTCCCCCAAGCCCCTTACCTGCCCTTCCTTCTCCTTGTGCAAAGGTCGGCTTGAAACGAGATGTGGAAACGGTCCGCCGGGGCCCATCACCTGCCGTCTTCTCGGGTCGCCGGCCCTCTGAATAAAGGGCCCCTGACGATCCCATCCCGGCCTCTGCCCACGGGGTCGGCGGGTGACCGGCAGCAGGGAGCCGGCTGCTCGGGTTCCGAGCCCACCGCAAAGCCGTCCTCAGGCGAGGGGTTCCTCGGACGCGGCTCCGTGCCGCGGGAGGCGACATGCGGAGGGGGTAAGGGGACTGCTGCTCCCCAAACAGACGCAGGGGGACAGTCTCAAGAAGACGGGGCCGGGGAGACGCCTGCGTGCGACGCCACGTGGGCGGAAGCGGAGGCGGAGGCGGAGGCGGGGCCTCTGGCGCATGCACACAGTGGGACTACGCACCTCTCCGTGCGCCGCGCGCCTCCCCAGCACGTGAACTCCCCACCCGGGGCTGTTTCTAGCACCCAAACGAGGAAGGGTCACAGAACAGATGGGCTTTCTTGCTAGTGAGCCTGTGTGCGTGAGCGGCACAACACTTAAGCCCCCCACAGTAAATCCTGCGGAGGGCAGCATCCTTCAGTCTAGCTGGCCATTGGCTGTAGAAGGGAAAGCATTTGGGGGTTGATGGGCTCCTGCCAGCTTCGGCCACGAGGGCACCGCCCTGTGCTCGGACACGGGCTGAACAGGGAGGGTCTGGGTTACGTGTGCACGTGTTTGTCTAGGGTGGGAGCAGCGTCAGTTTCGTGCTGATTGCCCCCAGGGCAGAGTGTCCGACCTCAGGTTCGGTTCCCTGAACATCTGATCAAAGGGGTGTCTGGCAGCCCCAATTGCACCTGAGTCACCAGCAGCAAACTCGTGGGCCAGGGATGGAAATTCACGGCCTGAACTTGACCCCCCTCTGTCAGATCAGCTGGCACAACCAGTGGAGGCAAACAAGGGAGGGAACCGTTGAGCAATTTTGAAAAAGTTAACCTCTGATTATAAAAAAGGTATTATTTTATTGTAGGAAATTAGGGGATAATTATTCTTTAGAATCATTTAATCGAATTCTTTAAAAATTACATTAGAATTTTCCTTAGATTTGCTGTAAATCAATGAGCTGATTCGGGTGGACCCTGTGTGTTTGAGGTCTTACCTGGACGTACCTGGGAACACCTCAGACTCCAGGTGACTTAGGTCGTCTGTCTCTAATCACTTCCTTCGCCCAGGCCTGGACCACACTCCTGTGTCAGCCTTGTGGGGGTGCGGGAGGGGTGTCCACCTGAAGAATAAAAGGCTGATGTGGGAGGCAGCACGCCCCTATTTAAGGTCCCAGAGAACAGGTTCTCGGGGAGGCCCGACCCCGGCCGAAGCCCCGGCAGGGTCCCCATCAGGAGGTTAGGAGGTGACGGCCAGGGGCAGCTCC